AACCAGGATAACTTGCAAATAATTCAAAGACATTCGATGATACTTACAGACCATGCAGGAAAGAATTCAACATGGCGGTCCGTGGATATTTTGTGAAGCATGATGGGTAAATTGCAATGTATTATGGGTAAGTCCCAGGCTCCATATTTGAATAATGCAAAGCAATTAAAACCCTTTTATGATTTCAGTTTTCTTAATTTTATATACAGTACATTTCAAACTTTTGCTTTAAAGTTTTCTGCTATCATGATTAGATTGTAAACTAAGAAATATATCGTATTTATAATGCTTTCAGGTTCGTTTCTGGCACTAAAAAATCAGCCTCGTTTTCATGTAATATCCCCTAAATGACAAAACTGCTTAATTCAGAGTTAGTGCAGCTAGCTCTACCAGACAGTATTCGAATTAAAGTTAAAAATAATCAATAATTACGAGAATAAGCAGCACCTAACGATGTTTTTAGTTTTAGCCTCGTTTCCATGCAAATACCCCTAAATGGGAAAACCCTTACATTTCAAAAGCTAGTTAGGCTAGTTATAGTCAAATACAGTCAATATCAGTTAAAAACAAGGATGATTAAAGTGAATTACATATTTTCCTAGTTGTTTTGATTTTAAGCCTCGCTCTCATGCCAAAACCCCCTATAAATGGCGAAATAGGCGTTTTCTGCGATGGCTCCATATCTAGATCTTGAAAGACCATTATAAACTACCACTGTGCCAAATTTGGTGCTTTCTTCACAAAGCGCACGATTTTTCTGCTTATCCGCCCCACGTCGGGTTATTGTTGGAACTAAAACTGGCGTGAGTCAACTCTATATGAATTAATTTGTTATTTTTAGTTTAAATCAACTGAGTTATGACATTCAAGGCAAATTCATAAGGTCACTCGTGAATTCAACACGGAACTCTTGCGTCCAATGAACTTACCTATAATATCTTAACCGTAAGAATCTTAGTTTGCGATTTGAGCTGAAAAGGTAGCATACAATGCAAAAAAAAAAACTCTCTAGAGGTCATATATCTATTTCATAGCTCATTTTTACTAACTGAAGAAAATACGTTTCCTTCATCTGATAACACATGGATTATGATCATCTGATCTGACCAAAACGAATAATCTGAGAAGGAGCTAAAATAATAGTACAGTTGTTAACTGAGGATTCTACTTTTTAGCTGATAACTGATATCAACAAGATCAATGTTAGCTGATATTTTTCTGTAAATTTAAAAAACAACTGCAATTGCTATTGAAAAGCTACTTCAAATGGTGAATTACATGATCTGATCGCGATTCTATCGCTCTCTCCATGTCATGTTAGGGTCTGGCCATTTAAATTTTTAATTTATATCTTTTTTTCTGCATTTGTGCTGCACTAAATTTATTTTCTGCCCTATGTGACGTGCAGGAAATTTTCTTTCTCAATCATCAATTCCCCATTCACAAGTCAATTGCGAAGGCTCTTACAAAAACTTAAAAATGATGTAGGTGCACTATGCAATTTTCTCGGCAAATTTTCTCGCATTTTCTGAGTCACGTACGCTGGCAGACAATGTAATATAAAAATTAGGTAACGGAGGTAATAGATAATAACGGAGCTCGAATAGCAATATAGACGAGAATGATTATCTAGTACTACTAGTATTTCAAGAATAGCCTTAGTAGATGTCAGCTGTTTCAAGGAATGTAAATACAACATCTTTTATTGACATGCAAGAAAAAAACTTATTAATACAAGCTAATACATATATACCAGGCCCGTAGGCTGGGTGCGGTGTCCGGTGTTTCTCTTAGCTTTTTTGTTCTGTTTTAACCCTTTAAGTCCCAATCGTACATATTTGTACTGATAATCGACCACTCTTTTTAAAAAAAATCCATTTTCTCTGTTTAGTGGCAAAGGTGCTAACAAAAGTATTGATGCTTAGTTTAGGGAATTAACTGCCTGCTAAATTCTAAACTATAAGACTTCTGCTTCTTTTTTGTGACGATTAAAGTCACTTTTGTTTCGGTGAGATCTGAGCTGCACACGCTTACAATTTAGTTGAGGACGCTAGAGAATGGCTTGATTTCTTTCCAGTTCTACTGCTCAAAATACTTACATTTATGCCGAAACTCAACTTTTTCAGGAAATTTGGCATTTTTGCTTTACATTGGTCAGTTTATTGCCTATTGTTTTATTGAGCAAGCCGAGAAAAAGCTCCTTTTTATAGTCCATTCAGGCAGTGCTGAAATCGTTTTTTAAAGCTTTTCGCCTTTAAAGCGGTTAAAAATTCCCCAGAAATTTGGGAATTAAATGGTTAAAATTCTTTTGTTATGAACTGTTTTTGAGATATAGTAATTAAAAAGTCTTTTATTTTGAGAGGGTAGCACGTAATAGTCTCTAGACTAATAAACTTGTGGCCCTCTATATATTCACTCATACTCACTAACTCAACATTCATTATTTTACTACACGACACTCCTCACAGCTAGTTTTTGACTGAGGGAGGAAAACCAGCGAACCTGGAGAAAAACCCTCGGAACAGGGAAGAGAACCAGCTTACAAACTCAAATCACATATAGTCCCGGRCCGGGAATCGAACCAGGACCAAAGCAGTGATAGACCGGCGTTTTAACCGCTCGGCCATCCTTGCTCCCCAGTTATGAACTGTTCATTCTAGCAGACAGTTCTTACACACTATACCTGTGCATTGAGCTAAATTAGTTAAACTTTTAATTTAGGTCCGCATTATGAAAAACGACTCTACCCCCATTGTAAGGCAGCCTACAGGCCTATATACCTCGAAAGGTTTATAAGAATTTTAGATGAAAGTTTATGACTTTGTCTCTGGTACATTTTGTTCATTTGGACGAACTTATTATAACTTTTTATAAATCAGTTTTTTAATGATTTGTGTGTCGTATCAATCAGACAGACGCGGCACAGGATCGATATTTGAACCGATGCTTCTCAAACACAAAGATATAACGTATTTTTGTTACCTTGATTCTTGAACTTCCGATAAATGTTCCTGTCTCAAATACCGAGAAAATGCTATAAGCTCAAATAGCAAATTTTTTCGTCGGTGAAACTATAACCAACGATGAGGCATCCGATGACAACCTCGCCCTCATTATTCGGTTCAAAAAATGTCACCACCACTCTTATTTCAAACACAAGTTTCATTAATTTATGATAAAGTCATTCAAGGCTTTAATTTGGTCCATTCTTTGTTTTTTAAAATCTCTCTCAATCATCTTCAATCGAGATCAGTGCTGGCATGCTCTTGGTTTCACAATTCTAGGCAAAATAAGTCACACAGACCGTTCCTTTTCCCCACATTTTTGCAGTATTTCCAATATATCACCACCTTTTTCTTGTTGTCGAAAAAAAGTAATCCTGTTATTCCTAAAAACTTTTTTTGTGCTTTGATTTCGCTCTCCTATTTATTTTGTGCTTGTGATTAATTTTTCTAATCAGTTTGGAACATAAATGTTTGAGGGAAAAAATTCGATGTTTCAACAGAAGTACATTCAAATGTCTGCTATCTTCTAACASCACAGGTCTAACAGAACTTGAATTTTCTGCGCAACTTATATAGCAACTGCGTTGCAAGATCACAGGTTGCTGGCAAATTTGCAAAGTGAGAAAGTGCCTTTAATGTTGATGCATTAGACTGTGTTGATCTTTGAACAGATATAGAAATGAAAGAAAGTTATAGTGCTTAGAAGGAGGCAATTAAGGGAGAAAGACCCTTAGGAATAAGTTCGGAAAAATTAATTTCCGACCTCGCTGGGATTCGAACCCACGACCTTCGGATTCGTACTACCGATGCTCTACCAGCTGAGCTACAAAGCCAGACTGGGAGCAGGTCGGGGTGAAATAGATGTTGGGTTGCGGTAATAGAATAATGTAAAGATATGAATATGAGGACCGCATGGCACTATGAAAGAAAAGATATAGAAACAAAAGAAAGTTATAGTGCTTAGAAGGAGGCAATTCATTGTGTTGATTGTGTTGATCTTTGATCAGATTCCCGCCACTATTTTTATCAGATATTCAAATTTATAACAACTATTAATTGGTATTCATATTTCACCATGTCTTTAAAGTACAAGTACTTAATGTGCCCAACAACAACAAACAGTGGATTTGGACAACATTTGGGTCTAACATGATGCGGGTACGTTTAATTAACTAAGGGTTGTCATGGACATTTAGACATTTCGTTTTGCCTATAATTGAATCCTTGAGTAGTTTTAACTGTAAGAACTCTTAAATTAAATCATCAATGATAAACTCCGCCTTYAGAGCCAATATTGAGGATAAAGGGATGTGGCTAAGGCAACAATGCTTTTTTGGTTATTACCACTTTCTCGATAGTGCTTTTAGATCGTGAATTCGAATCCCAGGGAGGTCGGAATTTAACTTTTCCAAATAAAAAAACCTAGCGCTATATCGTTATATTATTTCGATTTTATTTAATTAATTTTATTTGTCAACATATTTATTTGTTCATATATTTATTGATTTGTTGTTTGTTTCTCTCCAGATAACAAATGCAAATGATGAGACTACCGAGTACCAGGCATGCCAAATGTATGATGCAGAAAACCAACCGAACTCCTGGTTAATAACTGATGCCATCAAAATTGACAAGGTTCGCAGAATCGACGTTACCGTTGAATTCTCCATCTGGAACTGTTCTGGTAAGGAGATGAGAGACGTTAAATATTGCAAGGAGAGTTTTGATATATATGTACATTTAGCATCAGAGATGTACAATACTGGCAAGATCCCAAATCCTTACTTAAACCATAGTGCATATGATCTAAAATCGGCTGTCAGTCCAAAATATATGGTCATGGGATTTACATATGAGGACATAAAGAATATTCGAAGTTCGACAAACAGAGAGACATATCGAATTGATTTAAGGCAGGGGTATCCGTACGTTTACATTGCGTTTCGTTATACTGGTGGATGTATCAGTGTGTGCCGTGTGAGTGCTCAATATTATCAATGCCCTGCCAAGACTCTTTCAGAAAGTCTTATTCGAGTGCCAATGACGAAGGCCCCCCCGAATGGGTCAGAGAGAGTCAGAGGTCAGTGCTTTCCTTACGCGCAGCCTGAGAGTAATGGAAACGAACCGTTTTGGCTTTGCGAAGCTGAGGGAAAATGGAGTGAGAACTCTAATATAGGAATGTGTATTTGTAAAGCTGGTTATGACAAAGTAAACACAAGCAAGAGAGAAGCTGAGTGTCAAGGTGAGAAAGTGGCTTGATTATCGCTGTATCTTATTGGTGAAATGCATGCACACCGTTGCAATTTATTTTATTATCAAAAAGCAGAAAAAGCCCAGGATACTGAACCAGGTTAGTAGATATTTTTTTCGTTATATCATGAATCGAAGGATAGTGTATATTCCTGTACGCAAATACACCGTNGTTTTTTCTTAAATCATGTATCCACTTAAGATACTCAAACAGTACTTAACGAAACTCTTTTCTGTATGTTGGGAGTAAATCATTTTCTGCTTTAGCTTCAGCAACCTCGTGACTCTCGCCTTCTTGCTCAAAATGACGAACTAGTGTTTCAAATTTGTTTTTGTGACGCTCTCTTGCTTCATCTTGAATTCGTTCCCAATTCCCGCTGTCATCGTCATCGTCTTCGTCACTGCTCACTTGCAAGGAGTCAGATTCATCTGATCCTTGAGAATTAGACATGCTGTCACTTTCATCATCGGTCGAAGATTGATTTGTGACGTGACTGGCTTCTGAATTCAACTGTTCATCTCCAGAATAAGACATGATGTATTACCGTACAATACAAGTTTAGTTGTTCTTTCACCTTTAGCAGTCTTGCTTATAAAAATGTGTGTGAGATTAGCAATTGTCCCCCTTTTATAGCACTATAATAGCAGGCTTGGTTAAATTTTATGAATATTTTCCGTAAAAGGTATCCAACGTTTACGTAATGGTTTTGATATTCTATACTTTCGAAGTTTTGCTTGTTGTAAGTAAGGCTTGCGTTCTTCTGGTGAAAGTTGGTGGACTTGACTTAAATGATTTGATAATTTTACTAATGCAATCGCTCCGCAGCCAGGTAAGGGACAATCCTTACGGTACCGTGACATGATATGTTATGTTTCTGACTGCAAAGGAGAAAATTATTTAGAAAAGTGATAGTAGATGAGACTAATCGGATTCTTTACGTAAACACGAGGTTTCTGTAATCTATCGGATTACGTCCCTGGACAACAAGTTGAAACTTGCCCTCATTCCTATAATCGGATTGCCGGTCCAAGAATGTGGACCGTACCACCCCTCCCCCACAAATCGCGCTATATAGGCTTAGTCTGATGTGACTACCCACCCCCCCCCTACTACTGTTTTAGAGGGGGTAGTCACGTGTCTGAAGAATGTCTGGAATTCTACATATTTGACATTCTTAACATTTTTACATTCCTCGCATAACTCATAGGGGAGGGGGGAGGTGCTATAGTGGGGGTTTTACTACTTCCTGCATTGGTCAATGATCAGGTTTCAAACCTGAGACCTTTGCTAGGGTCATACACCTTAAGTAACAATGCGCTTAAGAACTAGGGAACTCTCTATTGTTCTGCGGCATTGCAACTTTTGCACGTACGAATGTCTTGGTTTTCACAATGATTATGTATCAACCTATGGGTAACACATTTTTGAAATAAAATGTTGAAAAACTCTATTTTGAAACAAACTTTCTTTTGTATTAAAAGCTCTTATCCAATCATAAGCACTCAAAACAATAGCCAAAAGATGATTCTACTTTGCTATGTTCCCCACGTAGAATTGCATTAATATTGAAGCTAAAGAAAGCTTTAATGAAAGTGAAAACAGACATCAAATAAAATATTAGAAACTGCGCTAACTTGTGAAATTATAGCAGATTTTCATGTTTTAACCAATGGGATGTATGGATTATACAATGCACAATTAGCACCTTCTTGCATTCCTTTGCCGTTTGCTTCCCTAGTTCTTACTCGGGGCATTACTTAATATCTATTCTAGAACTCAATAATTTATGAGCTATTAGTCCAATGAGCATCGAACTATTGGCTCACATGATGGGCCTTTATATCCCGATAAAGCACTGATGTTTTATTAATCAGTTCTATATCAGATATATAGAACCGATGTTTTATTAATCAGTTCTATATCATATATAAAGAACTGATGTTCAAGGTCATCAGCGCTTTATCGCAACCCAACACTAGCAAAGGTCTCAGTTTTAATGTCGCATYAYAKRCCTTTGCTAGGTTTTAAATCAGTTTGAATCAATGTGCAGACATGCAGTATAGCATAGACYAGCCGTTCTTACGTGTGGGATCAAAATTCTTTCAAATTGTGGCAAATGCACATGCTCAGTAGAAGTTTAATATGCATTATCACTGTTTTCGCATTTTTTAGCTTTTTTTCTAAAATGATAACGATTTCTGGATGTTAAAATTCTAGAAGTAGTATAAAGAACTCAAGAGTGTATTTTATCGGGACTAAAGATCCTCTCGCCTTCGGCTCGGATCTTTATCACCCGATAAAACACACTCTTTCGTTCTTTATACACTACATAAAGGTCACCTTTATATAAAGAATACTAATAAGGAGTGTTTTATCAGATATAAAGGTCCATACATGTGACCAAATAGGCTCATTTTATTGGCCTAGTAGCTCATTAATTATATATGAGTTTTTGAATGTATTTTACTGTTCTCCGTCATACGGAATCCTCATTTGTTTAGCTTTCTTGGCTTCCGGTTTCTTATTACGAAACTGATGGCAAGTACCTTGATCATAGCTTCTTATCTTCTGTATTGATGATTCCCTTCTAATTTATATACAGGATTCTTACTTAATATTTATGTTTTTAGCTCGCCACACAGTGCCGCCCGACGTCAAGCATGTGATGGTCTCAAATTCCAACACAATTATTCTTGCTAGTGGGATTGGAGGCGCATTAGGCTTGGTACTCTTAATTGCTGTGTTGGCATGCCTCTTTCAGAATCGTCGACAGAAAAGATTACTTTTGAAATACCAGGAGATGAAATATCTTAGAAATGGAGAAGATTACATGGTATATCTGATGACGCCATTTTCTAAAAAAATGCATTTTCATATGGGAAATGATATTCTTTTCTTTTTTGGAATTTTTTATTTTCTTTTTTTTTATCCTTTGTTTTTTTTTTATTTTAGAAGATGTCAAAATACTTTTATCCCTCCTCTGACACATAGACAAATACAAGATTCAGTTGAGGAAAGCTAGTTTCGTCTTTACTAAGACCTCAATTCCTTTACAACTGTTGTATACGATAAGCGCGCTTAAATCTTGTGTTTTCTGTGTGCAACCTACGTAATAGGATTTTAAAGCACGCGACAATCGTTCCGTGTAAATCTGCCTTTAGATATGAACCGTCAATTTACATTACTACATAGCTTATTCTGTTTACT